AGTTGCGCGACTGCAAGAAGTAGGATCCGCTCTTGGACTTGATTCACGATTACATACAGGGCGGCTACAACCTGTCTCTTTTCGCTTTGGACTTGTTTTTTTTTTGTTTTTTTTTTGGCTTTGGACTTGGTTCGTTGATTACATGTTTTTAACTTTTTTATATATTGTACGTTTTTTCTTTTTCCTTTAAAGAAAAAAAAGGTTGTTGACCTTGGGCATTGGGCCCGATTGATTGGCAATAAGTAAACGCTCTGTTTCAAGTAACACCCTTCTGAAAAAAAAAAAAAGAAAAAAAAAAAAAGTAACACCCCTCTGCCCGCTCTCTTCCCGCCTTAAGGAAAAAGCGAAAACTACAAAACCAGAAAGAAACCTTTTTTTTCTGTCTTGTTTATCTTCTCTTCTTTGCTTTTTTTTTTTTTTTTTTTTTGCTGCAAACAATTTTTTTGCCCCGACAGTGACCCGGCGGACAGTTTGTTGCTGACGTGTATTTGGCAATGGGCCGGGTGATTATTTCCTTTTTTTCCTTTTTCCCAGGGTGATCATTTTGGAAAAAGGGTGATTATTTCCGGTTTGGGGTGTGTGAAGGAGTGTAATTGAAAGGGAGGGGGGCTAATTAAACCCTTTTGGGGGAGCAGGGTCTCATTAGCCTCCTGCTCGGAGGTTTATTTCCGGCGGGGGTTTTGTGGGATAGCAGGACGGGACTCTGTCTCCTGCAGAGGCGGGGGCAGGGGGTTTAATTAACCCCCGCCGCAGGTGGAGCAGCGGGTTTAATTAACCCCCACCGCAGGGGGTGTAGCGGGGTTCAATTACCGGCCTACTCGGCGAGGAGGCCGAAGTGTGGTAGTAATGAAGAGGGGGAGAGGGGGAAGCCGATACGTTGGCCGTTATCTTTCGGACGACTACTGGGATGAGTGTGTGTGAGAGAGAGAGAGAGATGGTGAGGGGTCGGTACTCGACGGATGGAGAGATGGTGTGGTCGGTGGTCCCCACCATACGGCGCTAACGAGCGCGATGGCTCTTGGGAAGTAGACCGAGTTTGCCCGGTGTGGATGTGTCAGATATGGCTGCCGTCGGGATACCGAGCCCACGTGGCGGGAGAGTCGGGAGAGTCGCTAGCGGCGCCAGAAGTGGTGGGGTATTGGAGAAAAGAGTGACAGGCGGAGGAAGACGAGGAAGAGGAGTGGGAGGGGGAGGAGGAGGAGGAGGAGGAGGGGGAGGAGGAGGAGGAGGAGAAGGAGGTGTCACGAGCCCTCGAGGACAGAGCCGGTCGAGCGCTGATCCCGAGGGGGAGGAGGAGATTCGAGCACCTCCTCCACGTGGCGATGAGGTGGAGGATGCTGAAGCGACGGTAGGAAAGAAGGAGGGAGCTAAGGCGGACGAAGGGGAGGGAGTCGGGGGTGGTAAGGGTGAAGCGGCGCATTGTTCCCCTTCCCCTCGTCCGCCTAACTGGGAGAAGGAGGGGGGGGATCAAGGGGGAGGGAGACCAGTAAGTGACGATGGAGGAGGAGGAGAAGGAGGAGGAGGAGCAGGAG